TATGTGGTACTAGAACTTTAGGACTTTGGTATCCTAAGGGCACGCACATTGACCTTATTAGCTATTCGGATGTCGATTGGGCGGGTTACACAATTGATCGAAAAAGCACTAGTGGAACTTCTCACTTTCTAGGCTTTGCCCTTGTATCGTGGTTTAGCAAGAAACAAAATTCCGTTGCACTTTCAATCGCCGAAGTCGAATATATCTCGGCCCCTAGTTGTTGTGCTCAAATTCTTTGGATGAAACAAACCCTCAGTGATTATCATTTAACTTTTGAAAATACTTCTATTATGTGTGATAACACTAGTGCTATAAATTTGTCTAAAAATCCTATCTTACACTCTCGAACCAAACATATTGAAATTCGACATCATTTTCTTAGAGATCATGTGCAAAAAGGTGATATTTATTTAAAATTTGTTAGTATTGATAAATAATTGGTCGACATTCTTACTAAACCTCTAGCTCTCGATAGATTTTATTATATTCGAAGAGGCTTGGGTATTATTGATGAATCTGATATTTGTGGCTAAATTTGTCTTATATGTATGATCAAGGATAATTCTTGTTGTGCATAATTTATGTACATAGAGGGGTACATAATGCGATGTGGCAATCATTCGGTAGTTGATGTAAAAGTGTGACATTCGAATTAAAAGTTGGATATGTGCCACGTGTAATTATGTTAACCATTATGTGAAAATTTATGTACCCTAGCAAAGTCCCATGATCAAACCGTATCTACATAACTGTTTTCAAAGTTTTGGTTGACCATTTCACTAGTTCGGTCGACCAATTGATCAACTGAAGTCCTCCTTTCGGTCGACCATCAGTTAATCGAAACATACTGCAACCTCCTGTCTAAAAATCCTGCAGAGTTTCGGTCGATCGAAATTAGCCTGATCGATCGAAATTGTCGTGGCTCAGCTCTTTTAAAACTCAGATTTTATCCCCAAATCCTTATTTGAACCCTAGAATTGCGATATTCTCTCCTTATTCTCTCTTCCAATCCAGCAAAAATCTCACCATTTTCATTCAAATAGCTTCAAAATTTCAACAAATCAACAACAGTCATAAAACATTCATATCAAATTTCAAGGTTTTTCCTCCATTTTTATCAAAACTTCGAAAGCTTAGCTTTTTGTTCAAAAACTTGAAAATCCTAATCTTTCTCTAAAAAAAAATCCATTGAAAATCCATTCAAATCATTCACCTACTTTAAAGATTTGTATCCTACTCATTTCCTATTAATTCCCACTCGTTTTCCCACCAAAAATTTTGAAAACTGAAATCTCTCTTACCTTGCTCAACATATCCGAACCTACAATGCCTCCAAAGAAGAAATTGAAGAAGGGTGAAGCTAGTTCGTCCAATGTTGAAGTTGACACACCTTTGCCTGACCGATTCACCGATTGTCCAATTTTAATTGGTAAGTCTATCGACTTTTTTGACTTCTACACCGAAGTTCCATCTCTTCGTACAGAAGAGTATTTTGAGGGAATTGGATGGAACAATGTGGTTTCTATTTATGAGAATGCTTACCCTAGGTTAATTCTAGAATTTTATCAAAATGTCACTTTCTATTCAAACCACGTTACTTGCACAATCAAGGATAAACGCATTACCCTCGATAGACCTACTATTCGGCAAATCCTTGATTTAGAAGATTGTG